CCCCCCCCCCCCCGCCATTCTGCAGGGCCCGTGCTAATGCTCTCTGTATCATTCCAATTATAAAAGATGTCCCCAAGGACTGTTTTGAAGTGTTTTCCTCACTGTTTTTGGGAGTGAAAGAAAGTATTTTTAAAAGCAAGAAACTGCCAGAAAGAGTATTTTTAACTTTAAGCTTTAAGTATAAAGTACTATAAAGTTTACTATGATTTTTTCCAAAAAAACAGTTTGTTCGACAGCACACACCTGAAGGTTCTGAAATTTTGTGGCTTCATCGTGCGAACGTTCGGAGAAGTTAATGAGTTGCTTCATTTCGTCCCTCATGGACGAAACCTTCGATCTCTCCTGTTGCAGCTCCTCCTGCAGGGACCCCAACTTCTGATTCCGCATCTGAAGATCGCTGTTTAGTTCATCGACCTGTTCCCAAAATCCCGATGCGAGAAAAGAAAGGAAAAAAAGAAAAAATCAGTAAATCACTACATGACCTGGGCTACAAACCGGGCTGTCCTGGTCACCTTGGCTGCCTGGGCGGCCCAGCCGGACAAAGGGCCAAGGAAGGTCCCTGCCAAAACAAACAAACAAACAAACAAACAAACAAACAAACAAACAAACAACAAACTGAAAATCTGAAAAAAAAATTAAATACGTAAAAAAGTTATGTTATGCAGAAAAGTAACTGGACAACTTTTGCCTCAGGGTCAAATCGAAAGTCCTTACCAAAATAATACCAAATTAAAAATTTAAATTAAAATTAACAAAATATATCTATAGACTATATATATCGTCACAAATAGAACTGCCCGGTAAACCGTAGGCAGAGAGAGAGAAGAGGACAACAAACGAGGGGCTGTGATATATTGTCAAACAGATATCGTGCTGATCTCCAATCTCAGTATTCTGATTGGAATGAAGACAGTCGTGTCGAGGCAGCGCCACCACTTTTAATCCTTTTTGCATTGGTTCATGCTGGCGTTCACTGCTTTTAATCCTTTTCGGAGCTCCGGGAATTATTTCACATAAATCTTTCACTCCAAGCAAGTAACTGAATCCTTTTTGGAGTGAAAGATTTACGTGAAATAATTCCAGTACCGGCCTCCTCATTGGTCAGTGCTTTCTCATGGGCACCACTGTATACTGCAAAGGCGGGCTCATAGATGCAAAGTGAGATGTGCGGTTCGCGTCTATCACCCCCAGCCGCACGTGATCGAAAACGTCAACGACGAAGTACAATACCTTGCTAGTGGGACGAGGCCCCAGGAATAAGTTGAAATCAACCTATCTTCAAACTGAATCTTTGCAACGTTGCACATTATTATCTTTTTTTTTTTTTTTTTAAACAGGGCCTTATGGTCCCGACTCCTTCCATTCTGGGGAGCGACAGTCCGGTTCCTATTCCACCGGCAAGTCAAAGTATGATACATCACAGCAACCAACTCACGCTTCCTCCCGTCTGGCCGGAGGACCCCTGAACAGCATTGATTGCTCCACGTTGGGTGGAGGATTGACTGTCAGCTTGCCCAGAGTCGTTCTTCCCTCTCAGATCTACTGTTGCAGTCCTGCCAGATTTATCTGTTATACCTA